AAAAAAAAACTATCTGATTTAAATATTAAAATGATATCATAATTTACATATATGTATATATACGTAATACTATAGGTTTTCATTATTTACGTATTATGGGAATTGGGTATTATATAAATACTATAATACTCATATGGATTATATACGTTTACAAATATTATTAAGTCTTGAATGGGAAAATTTAGTCATATGATACAATAATATCGAATGTAAAAAAAAATGCACCCTATAGACGTTACGATGATGGCAAAGGCTTAAGAGATTTTAATGTTTTTTATGGGGCTGTGGATAGGGGAAAAGAAGACACAACGATAAATCTCTCGTATGACAATGCCGGTATGGATATCGGACGGAGCACTTATTGATGCAATGTCGTATATCTACTGCCATTATGCGAACCATTATACCATAAACATGATGTACGGTAAATATGTAACATGMATTAGGTATATGTAATTATAAATTAAATATATATAACCTGTCATACGAAATATTCGAAATTCATTTATACCCATATACGTGTATATTAGTATATTATATGTTATTATTCTGAAGCGGTGCTATCATTATGTTTGCAATATATATATATATAAAAAATAGTGGAAAAACAGAAATTCCACGGTATTCAAATCTCTTCTGAGAAACACGATCGTTTTCATTAATTCTACTGTCGCCTCCGATGCTGCCACCTTTATTGTGAGCGATATTACTGAGTCCGCCGGGAAGGAAAAAAATTACAACGTCGTGGRCCAAATTATTATATTAATATTATATTATGTACAAACTACATACACACTACATGTGAACATTGTGAACTATTACGTACACGTCTGATGCATTAATACTAATACTGCTGAACTGTAGTAACTATAGTTTACATTCGTAGCGTTAGGCTTTATTATAATATAGGTACAACATTAATAAATATAAATCTCCGCTTGGAAAATTAATCGAATTCATTTCTAACACGTAAAAAGAAACACTATATTATAATACAGCGAGTAACATGCACGTGTAGTGTAGGTACCTACCCATAGTGAAAGWGCATTGTGGTAGCAAGAGTATTATTTGTTGATCATAAATTAAATTTAGGTATAAACATAAATTTCAATACAATCCGTTTTAAGTTGTWTATAAATATAATATTATGTATGTAGCAGTGTGAAGGAACCGACGTTATTTTTGTTTTCTATTGAACATTGTAATTTATTGTACTACGCGATATATGGTGTACCGTATACATCTTTTATTTTAAACTCAATACATTAGTAAAGGTATACATATTTTAGAGTTTCAATAAATTAACGTGAATAATGAAGTTTTATCAATTCGTGCAGAATAAAGTATGATATATATGTATATTAACAGTTATAACTGATCAGTGATCATTTCCTTATTTGGGTAAAATGAATATAATATAACGAATACGCGTCTACTGAAAAATATAGCAGGTAGGTATATATATTTGTGTACATTAAATGCAGTACGAGTATCTGTAATAAAATGACACCCAATGGCCAATTGTCTCTTTAGTGATAAATCATATAAAAATCGGTGCACTAAGCATGCTTAGGAAATTTACTAAGCCACTGAATACGTGTAGGAATTTTTAAAGTATAGGTAGAGCCGGTAGAGGTATAATATATACTATAGATAAACTATAAATAGTGTACACCCTTTGTCCCAACCAATTTACCAACTGATCCCTAAAGAGATCCATATCAATTATATTTGTTTTATATCAATAATTTCGTTAAATAATTTTATTATTCAAATTTTAAATTTGAGATATGAATAAAATATAATCAAATACAGAGATAAAACATAAAAATGAGACCAGTCCCCGAGAGCACCCCCTTWWTTGCAGCACTGATACAGTATATAACTTTACCAAAACTGGTCAATCATCTGCAATATATGCCATAATATGTATGATTTTAATATATTATATCAGATTTAAACTACATAATATCAAAAAGGTATGTTTAAATGTTAAACCAATTATGTATCATATATTGATATATTGTAATATAACTATTAAACTATTAACTACCTGCTATATCATTTTTAGTGAAGATATTACACAACGATTTTAACACGTTTTATTACTATTATAGAATGAGGTGGTTTAACTTCGGTTTCGTGTTTTAACATTTTAATATCTAACTAAGTTTTACTCGCCATAAAATTAATATCGATAAAGCCTATATATAAGGGGGCCTAGATAATATGCTTACCTTTAAATTTGATGAAATTTATTTCATTTCATTTATTAAATTAAGCCAATTCGTAATAACATATAAACGCAAATGAATACTATTTTGTACGTTTACTAATATTTGTAAGACAAAAACAACAAATGCAAGTCTATAGTATTATAGCATCCTATTAAATACCTACTTTAAAACCTAATCCTTCCTTTATTTTTAGTTTCAAAAGTTATATTGATTTTCAAACGTCAAAACTTTATTTCCAAAACTCGCCAAAAAGGTTGGTTATAAGTACTTATAACAAATGACAATATTGTGAACTGTCCATAAAATATAACATAAAATAAATTTACAAAGACGAGAACTTCGATAATTCAAGACATTTTTTTTTTTTTAGGGTATCTGCTGTATGTACCTATTTTAAGCAAGCAACACACGTTCAAGATTTAGCTATAATTTTAAAAGTTGTTGTTTAATAAATAAATGTTTTAAATACCTGATTYGAGTGAAAAAATTATGGATAGCATAGTGATCGCAATTTTTTTAATTTAAATTTGCCCACATAGTGGCCACGGCCACCCCTAACAAAATGCATAATATAAGAGAAATAACAATACATCGACACAGCCAATAATAGCTCTTTAGACAAAGTCACGTAATAAAACAGTATATTATAATGTTGTTGTACCGGTCAGACACGGTACGACATCGATGGAACGAGTGTGCGTTGGGGACGGAGAAAAAATCCGATTATCGAGACACGGAAAAAAGTCAGACTTACCTGCGCGAAAAATCGGCTGCTGCGGTCGGCGCAGATTATAAGCTCGACGACGAYGACGACGACGAGAAAATTGCAACTACTTACAACAAACCACCTCCACCACCAGCAGCACAACCGAAACGGCCGCCACCACCGCCGGTACTACTAGTGTACGACTACAACACGAGCGCGACTACTAGTGCAGCGGCCACCGGCGTCGACGCGACAACGACCACGTTCGTTCGGTCTCGTTTGCCAGTCGCCGCCAAGCGCCGGTCCGGCCACTGCGGCGACGRCACGGACGGCGCGCGTCCGACATCGCACGCGACTGTTCCCCGTCGGACCGATCGCTCTGTCACGTCTCTATAACAGTATTATTATGTACCTATACCGTAGTGCATGTGACATTACCAGTGCTGTAGTATGACAGTGCGATATAGACAGTCGTCGGGGAATCGATGCGGTCCGACCGCTGAACGACGTCGTCTCCCCGGCCGACCGTAACACTCCGCATGAATGGGTACTTGACGAGTTCGCACACGCACGCACGCACGCACGCACGCACTCGTATATTCGTCGTCACCGCGGAGATCCGCTCGCATCCTGTCCCGTCCCGCTCCGCGGCCGGCTACACGCCCGCGCCATACACCGAACGTA